GTGTTAATTTCTTGATAAATTAGGGCCTACTCATGGTGAAGTTAATTTCAATTTATAATATTTTGATGAAACAACCGTAAATAATCTATTTAATTTTTAAAATTAATGGAAGTAGTTATACATGAAATGACTCATATTTTGGGTTTTAGCAATTTAGATATACCAAAATGGGTAACTTCTGATGGAACTCCTCATAAAAATCCTACAATCAAATAAAATATAAGGGGAGTTGAAAATTTACTTATTACAACTCCTAACGTTTTGAAGTTTGCTAGAGAATATTTTGGATGTCCTACTTTAGTTGGTATGCCTCTTGACAGAGCAAATAACGATGAATATTCAAATTCACATTGGAAAAACACAGACTTACAAAACGAATACATGAATTCATTAAACTCTCCAAACTAAGCTTATTTTAGTGGTTTTACAACTAATCTTTTAAGAGATACAGGTTTCTATGCTCAAATAAACGAAAATATGGAAGAATAAATGTTTTATGGAAAAGGAGCAGGCTGTGAACATATCTTGGGTAAATGTGATTCTACTAAAAGAGAATTTTGTAAACCTAAAACTGACTAGGGATTATGTGATTATTACCACCACGGATATTCTATTTGTAAAGTTCGCACATTTAATGATTCTGATTGTAATAAATTAATTACCTACCCAAATACAAAATCTAGGCATTTCAATAGTTAATTTAACAAAAAAAAATCTTAATAAGTATAAGGTGTTAAATAAGGGATTAATTCAAGATGTTTTAATGGGAATATAATGCTTTCAAGCAAAAATAAAACCTTATAAATTTTAGGTATTGCTATTAATAATAGTGAGAACCTAATAAATTAAAAGTGAATATTTGGTAAAATTTAGAGAAATTGTCATTTTTAATGATATAGTGGGTTCAAAAAAATATTTCCGGGTATTTATAGTGCAAATAGATATTGCTTAAAAAAAAAGTGTTATTGTGCTAAAGGATTTACTAAAATGCATTGCAATATTAAAATAGTTTCTTGAAATTAAATATTAATTTTCTAATATTATAGAAAATTAGAAAGAATATTTTAAATTATTACATTAATTAATATTATTATGTTAAAAAAATTTTACAAAGATATTTAATAATTTAATTTAATAAAAAAATATATATAATGAATACATTTAAAAATTAAAAAAAATAATATTAATATATCTATAAAAATAAATTGTTTTTATTTATAAATTAATTAAAATTATAAAAAATAATTAATAAAATATTATTTTAATTAAATATAATAATTAATTTTTTAATATATATTAATAATGTAAAATATTTTATTTTTATTAAAATAAATATATATATTTATTAATTTAATTATATATATATATATATATTTATATATATATATTTAATTTTTTATTATAATATCTTTATATTAAAAGCAATTTAATAAATAGTCAATATAAAAATAAAATAAAATTAATATTTGAGAATTTAAAAATATTAAAAGATATATTTTTTTAAAAATAATTAGTTAATAAATAATTATTTAATTGATAAATAATTTTTAAATCAAAATTTTACAAAAAAAATAATTTTTTTTTTCAGCTTGAGTAATTTATTTCATAAAAATAATCTGATATTTTACTTTTTAGGTAAATATAATTATTTAAAAATAATATTATAAGAAAAAATTATTTATTTTTGAAAATAATTGTGAAGAATGGTATAAAATATATAAATTTTATCAAAAGAATGATTAATAAACCAGGAATAAAATTTTATTTGGTAATTGTATATAGAGTAATAAAGTCAAAAATTTAGGTAAAAAAGAAAATTTAAAATAAAAAATGTTGTATGTATTATAAGCATTTTGCTAAAAAAATTAATAAATAAAATAAAAAATAATGTATTTCTTTTTATTAAAGCAAATAAATATAATTAAAAAATATGACATTCTGAATAATTTTAATAATTATATATAGAAATATATAAATATATTTTTATTAAAAAAATAATAATAATAAATTTATTTAATTACAAAATAAACTTTATTAAATAAAATATTAGAATTATTTTTATTATTTTAAAAAAAAATATTAATTTAAAAATAAATATATATTTAATAAAATAAAAAATACAATTAATATTTATATTTTTATATATAAAATAAGTATTAATTAATTAGTAATTAAAATATGAAAAATATAATTTAAAGAAAATAAATTTTATTACAAAAATAAAAAAAAGAATGAAAAAAAAGAAAAATTTTAATTATAATTAAAGAAAAAGATTATAAAAATAAAATAATATAAAAACATTTAAAATTTATTATTTATTTAATTAAAATTTTTATATATATTAAAAATTTATAATAAAATAAATAAATTAATAAAATAATAGTTATATATATATATTTATATATATATAATTATATATTTTTATATAAATATAATTATTTATATATAAATATATTTGTATGTTAAAATTTAATAAAAAATATAAATATTTTTATTTATTAAATTAATTTCAATATTTTTTTTTTATTTTAATCAAAATATTTATTTAAATATATTTGTTTTTTAATAATATTAAAATTAAATTAAAATTTTTTTATTATATTATATATATTTTATATATTTTTATTATATTTATTGTTAATCTAAAAATATTTTATTTAAATTAATATGTATTTCTTTTTTATCTTAATTTTTAAAATTTATATATATATATTAATAATATTTTAATAAAATTAAATATATTTTTAAGATTGTTAAAAAAATTAAGTTAATTAAAGAAACATTTATTTATATAGTTAAATTAAAAATAAAAAATATTATATATATATATATAATATTTAGTATAGATTTCTATTTTCTCAAATAATAGATAAATATTAATATGTTTCAAGAGGCTCCTTTAACAGAGCAATCTATTCCACTGAATCCTCTAGCACAATAACACTTATTATTTAAGCAATATCCATATGCACTACATATACCCGGACATATTTTTTAAACCCACAAAAATCAGATATATTTGCTGGACATTATAGTTACCCAGTATATCCTTAAAA